AATCAATAGTGGCGCGAATAGCTCCAAAGGAAAACATATTGAGATCCAGTATCACTATATTCGATATATTATAGAAAAGGGAGAAGTTAAAGTGATTTATATCCCTACTACAGATATGATTGTTGATCCTTTGACAAAAGGAATACCAGCGGAATCTTTTATCAAACATGTAAGTTTTATGGGACTCAGGAATAAATAAGTCTAAGTAAAATTTCATGAATAATGAAATAAGAGTTACTCTCTACGGATAGTGAGAGTAATGGTAAGCAGAAACATCTGATCTCACGGATAGTGGGAGGCATATCACTTGGTTAATTTGGTCAAGTGGGAGATGTTAGCTTGACCTGGTCTAAGATGACCAAATCAACAATTCTCAGTAGAGAGAATTGTGGAACGTGAAAGCGTGGAAGGGTTGTTGAGAGAAAATCTCTCATTAGGGCGGATCTGAGGGGGTGGAGTTAGTGGGTTTTGTTAGACCCTAGAGGGGGTGATTAGGGTCTTATGCTAATCTAATCCGATTTTATGCCAATTAAAATTAACAAGATATCCTAGCAAGTATGAAATGCAACAATATATATGAACTAGGATAAGAAATATACAATATGATATATCCTAGCAAAGAGGCATATAGTGAAATATATGCAAGGATATATAAACTAACACAAGGGGTAAACAATCTAAACAAGATAGTGGATGATATAGATAATGAGCTAATGACAATGGCGATATAAGATATGAACATAAATATGAATGAACGCCAAAGCACACTCAAACAAGCAATATGATCACGGAGTTCGGACCTTCCGTCCTACGTCTCCGCTCCCCACTCCCGGGGAGAAATCCACTATCAACCGGGTTTTCTACGTTCACCCGAATAACGTTTACACCTCACAGTATCGGTTTTCAACGCTCACCGATCAACGTCACTCCTCACAATCGGTTTTCTAGTTCACCGAAAACTTCACAACACACTCGGTTTCTAGCTCACCAAAAACCTACTCAATGTAGTTCTAGCTAAATAACAATGATAATCAAATATATAAAAAAGCTAGAAATAGAGTTTAGAAAACTTCTCAATATATCAAGAGTGGAGGGAGAAGAGTTGGATACCCAAACACCAATAGATGATCTCCTCAAGCTCTTGTTGAATTGAATCACAAAACCGAAACACTCAATTGCTTAAAAGCTTTTTAAACAAACTTAAACCAAACATAAACCCTTGTTAAAACTTTCTTAAACTTGTTTTAAAACTCTCATTCGTTGGATGGAGAGCTGAAGGCAATGGGGTATTTATCCCCTCTCAAAACTTCAGCAAAACCCCACCCAAAAAGACAAAACAGCCCCAAGGCAACGGTCAAAAAACTCGCCGTTGGAAGCTGAAAACAACATCGTCGGTCGACCGGAAAATTCATCGGTCGACCGAAAATTTTCATCGGTCGACCGGACCGGTCGACCGACAAGCTTCTGTCGCCTGAGCACAAGAACTCAGGTTCGGTCGACCGGTTCGGTCGACCGAAAACTGATACTCAAAAACTATATATCTGATTTTAAAACGCTGTTTAAAAATATCAAATAAATTCCAAAAAATGTAAAACTTTGGGGATTGATTGTAGACATGATAATAAACATGCTCAATAGGTTTTGAAAAAGGACTTCCCAAATGAAAAATATCATCATTTTGTAAATATGTTCAAAAACATGAAAACCTGAAAATTGATATTTTGATATTTTGACTTAAACAACATTTTGAAACTTTATAAAATGTTTTTATAGACTTAGTAAAATATGTATAAACTGATATTGAAGTCTACAAACTAAGAATATAATATTTTCACAAATACAATAGAAAATGAAACCTATGAGTATATATATGAAAATATATTTGTTTCATATCTATGTAGATAAACCAAATCACAATAATAAATATGAAACATGTAATTTCATATTTATAAACATGAAAACCAAAACTTGTGTTGTATATATATGTGATTACATATATATACAAGGAAACTAATAAAATGTGTGTGTATAGATATTGAGCTTAACGTATTAAACACACATAATATAAACCCTAATCTAAATTACCCAAGCTAGATCTTGATCTTCAATAAGCTCTTCTAGGTAATCTCTCGGATGAAGCTTTAACTTGGATCTTGAACTTTGAATAGCAAGGCTTCACTGACATTCCGCCAACCTCCATTGGATATCATCGTTGAAGCTCTATTCCATCCATCCTTCAACAACGTTGTTTGTCTACAATATATAGAAAAACACAAATACTAGACAAACAACATTAGAAGTAAATTGTTTGTTAAACATCATCAAAATAAGAAGGCTAATAGGTTTAGCCCCTATAAATTAAGGAGAAATCTCATTGAGAAAATATAACAAAAAAGGAAAGTGAAAAACACTTACCCATTAGCGGAACCCCCATCAAAATCTATTCTTCCTCTTTGATTTCGATCACTTTTACCTTATAAATATTATTAACGTCAAAGATTAAAGTTTCTAAATTAAAATCAATTAATACTAAGATTTAATATTATAGTGTTTTATCATTTCTATGGATTTAAACATCTATCAATTAATGTTACGAATGTATTTTGGCTACCCTAACTTATTACTAAAATTATATGAAATTACTTTAATTTATATAGTGCCGATAATTTTTAATCTATAATATTTTTAAAAAATTTATCCATTAACTGGATGTTTTTAATCAATTCTTATTGTTTTTTTACCAGTATCAACTTAGACTATTCTTAGATGCTGAAAATGGATAGTAAATCCCTAAATTAGAAATTTTAATATATATATATATATGAAAAATACCAAACAATTACACTTTTCTTTGCCAAGTTTTAAAATTTTAGCCCATTTTTGTGGTTTTGAACTTTGAGGGTGTGATTTATAATTTTTAAAATTTTGAAAGAGTTTTTAAAAAAATTTACTTTTAAGTTTGGTAGTTGTAAATTCTATGTTTCATGTGTTGGTGGTAATTTTTTAAATGTTAGTATATTTCTTGTAACTCTAAAATTTTGAGGGTGTCTTTTACAATTATTAAAACTATAGATTAATTTTGAAAAATATTAAATTTCAGCGGTTTACCAATCGACGAATTTGATGTATGCTAGTTAAAAATTTTGAAAATTTAGAGTTTTTTTATGATTTTTAAATTTTGAAGGATTTTTTTAAAAATTTTAAGGTTAATTTTGGCAAATTTTAAGTTTTTAGGTGTCTAAGGGTAATATCTTGAATTCATCTTATTTTATTTACAAATTTTAGAATTTTAGGGTGGCTTTTTATAATTTGAACTTTTGAAGGTGTTTTTATAATTTTTGAGATATTGAGGGTGTTAATTAAAAAATTTAAATTTAAATGTCAAAAATTTTAGGTGTGTATCATGGTAATCTCTTGAATTCATTGATAAACACGTAAAATATGCATTATCTTAGTGTGTTTCAAGCATGATTTACGAGCGTTTGATGCATATTTCGTGTTTAAATCGAGGATACTACTATTGTTTGTGTTCTTATATGTAGGTATTGGCTCAAGATTGAAAGATTTGATGATCGTTGGAAGTTTTACAAAAGTTTGAAGCAATAACAAGATTTTGAATGCATGGTTCGTGAAGAAAATGGATGCTCGAGTATGAAGAACTAGAATTTCGACCATGATTCAATTTGAATCAAGAAAAACTCAAAAGAAAAAAGTTGTAGATCTCTTCAACAGGATTCCAATGCAACTTGAATCACCTCATTCGGATGTAGAAAAACTCAAAAGAACCCAACTTTTTGGTGATTGATGATGAATTGATATAGGTTCTTGGTGAAAGATTAAATATTTGAACTTGATTTCTAGTGTTTTAATTTTGTTGATTCGCTTGATCACCGTATTAGCAATCGTAGGTAATTAATTAAAGGACTGAAAGGTGAAGATTAATACCGGATCTCTAGAAATTAAACAAGGAGCTCGAACCACGAAAGTAGGCTAGATTCCTTGGGGATTTGATTTGGATTAGCATAAAGCTTAATGGGTTTAACTTAATCTTAATTCCACGAAAGTAGGTTAATTGAGATTGATTAGGCACGATCTTTAGACCTTGAAAGAGGCTTTAGATTAATTTAGGCTAATTCACCCTTTCTAGATTAAACCAACACCAAGAATTGAAATAATTCATCATTGAACACCTAAGTTGTGGTGATAACCCAATCCTAGTCCTTCATTATATTGAATTCCATCCGATTAGTTGTTTATTTTATTTCTTTTATTAAATCTCTTCTAATTTACTCATTGATTTAGCTAGTTGAAAACGTGAAACTTGGTAGATAACCCCTAGTCCTTATAGGATCGACCTTGATAGCTACAACGAGTCAGTGCGCTTGCGGATTTGTCCTATCAAGTTTTTGGTGCCGTTGCCAGGGACTACGGTGTTAATATTGAGTGCTTACGTTATTAAGCTAGACTAGATTTTTATTTTTTATCCTCTTTGCTTCTCACTTTCTTTTATGCAAGGGCATCAAACAGAATTACACGACGAAAACAATCATGAACTATTGGTGACTCTTGAAGAGATAAGAAGGTATATAAGGGAGCAAAGGAACACAGAACAAGCTACGTTGGGAGATCAAAATCAGCTTCTTAAGGATTTCGCAGCCCCAAATGCTCAAGGCACACATTCAAGCATTACAAGGCCCAATGTTGAAGCTAATAACTTTGAGTTGAAACCATCACTGCTCTCAATGGTTCAGTAGAATCAGTTTGGAGGAGGTGCTACTGAAGACCCGAACCTCCACCTGTCAATTTTCTTGGAGTATTGCGACACTTTGAAACTTAATGGAGTGACCAATGATGCTATTCATCTCAAATTATTTCCGTTCTCTTTAAGAGAAAAGGCTAGGGCTTGGTTGCACTCACTGCCAGCTGGTTCCATCACCACTTGTGATTAATTGTCAAGAGCATTTCTTGCAAAGTACTTTCCTCCAAGTAAAACAGCACAGATGAGGAACCAGATCACAAGCTTTGTACAGAAGGAAGGAGAGTCACTTTATGAAGCTTGGGAACGCTACAAGGAATTATTGAGGATGTGCCCTCACCATGGACTGGAGAAGTGGTTAATTGTTCACACCTTCTACAACGGGCTCACTTACAACACACGGATGACTGTTGATGCTGCTGCAGGAGGAGCTTTGATGAACAAAACAATAGACGAGGCATACACTCTCATTGAAGACATGGCTCAGAATCACTATCAATGGGCGAACGAGCGTGCTCCTCAGACATCAAAAGGTGGCAAGTATGAAATAGATGCTTTAGATCATATATCCTCTAAAGTTGATGCTTTATTTAAGAAAGTTGAAGGCTTGAGTATTAATTCTGTGGCGTCTACTTCAATTTCATGTGAGATATGTAGCTATGTGGGTCATTCTGCACTTCAATGTCAATTAGGAAACCCCCCTTCCATTGATACTTCTGGTAATGAGCAAGTTAACTATGTTAATAACTTTAATCAGAAGGGAGACCCATTCTCCAATACTTATAATCCGGGGTGGAGGAATCATCCTAATTTTTCTTATAGAAACCCACCTGGAAATCTCATGCCTGCATCTAATTTTGGTTCACCTGGTTTTCGTGCTCATCAATCCAATTTCCCTCCTCAAAAGTCAAATTTGGAAAATATGATGGAGAAGTTTGTGACGAATCAATCAAAATTGAATGAAGAGTTTAAGCAGCAACAACAAACCACGAATGAGGTGGTAAAACAATTGGCCTCTAAGATGGATTCCCTAGCTACGCATAACAAGATGTTAGAGACAGAAATCACCCAATTGGCACAAAATATTAGCTCTTCCTCTAGGCCTTCAGGCATGCTACCTGAACAACCCGAGACAAATCCCAGGAGTCATGTGAATGCTATAACTCTTAGAAGTGGAAAACAATATGAAGGACCCAAGATGAAGGAAAAGAGACACAAATCACTCAATTGGCGCAAAATGTTAGCTCTTCCTCTAGGCCTTCAGGCATGTTACCTGGACAACCCGAGACAAATCCCAGGAGTCATGTGAATGCTATAACTCTTAGAAGTGGAAAACAATATGAGGGACCCAAGATGAAGGAAAATGATGGGGTGGATGGTCATCATGAAGAAAAAAATGAAAACGTGATAGATGTGGATAATGAGACCCAAACGCAAGAAGAAGAAAAAGTTGAAAAATATGTGGCCCCCTCTCCTTACAAGCCTCCTCTACCCTTTCCACAAAGGTTAGCTAAGGCTAAGTTAGAAAATCAATTCGGAAAATTTTTGGAGATTTTGAAAAAGTTGCACATCAATATCCCGTTCACTGAAGCTATTTCTCAAATGACTTCTTATGCTAAGTTCTTGAAAGAGATCCTATCTAACAAAAGGAAGTTGGAAGAATACGAGACTGTGGCCCTTACTGAGGAGTGTAGTGCTATCATCCAGAATAAGCTACCTCCTAAGCTTAAGGATCCAGGTTCATTTTCTATTCCTTGTGTTATTGGTAATGTCTCTATTAACCATGCTTTGTGTGATTTAGGTGCAAGTGTAAGTTTGATGCCGATGTCTATTTGTAAGAAGCTTGGCATAGGGTGCTTTGTGTGATTTAGGTGCAAGTGTAAGTTTGATGCCGATGTCTATTTGTAAGAAGCTTGGCATAGGTGATTTGAAGCCAACCACGATATCACTCCAATTGGCGGATCGATCGGTAAAATATCCGGTAGGTATACTTGAAGATGTACCTATCCAGGTCGGTAAGTTCTTTATCCCGGTTGACTTCGTTATGTTAGAAATAGAAGAAGATTCTAACATTCTAATTATATTAGGAAGACCCTTCCTTGCTACTGTAGGTGCTATAATCGATGTTAAAAATGGAAGGCTCTCTCTAAATATTGGAGGGGAGACGATAGAATTTGATTTAAGCAATACTATAAAACTCCCTCTAACTGATAAAATTTGTTACAGGGTCGACATCATTGACAAGTGTACACATGAGCAAATTGCAAATAATAACTCAGCTGATCCACTTGAGATATGTTTGGTAAGTGATGGTTCAATAAATGATGAAGACCCCGAGGTAGCCGCGTATGCTTAATCTTTAGAATCAACATCAACTGCTCCACTTCGAAATGCAAAGCTTGAAAGATTGATCTATTTGTGAAAAGGATAATGCGCCAAAGGTAGAATTAAAACCCCTTCCTTCCTCTTTAAGGTATGAATTTCTTGGCCCTGATTTTACTTATCCTGTGATTGTGAATGCATGTCTGAATGAAAATGAAACTGATAAGTTGCTTAGAACACTTAGGATGCATCGCAAGGTCATAGGATACACCATGAATGACATTAAGGGAATTAATCCATCAATTTGCATGCATAGAATTCTCTTGGAAGATGATCATAAACCCTCTATAGAATACCAACGTAGATTAAATCCTAACATGCAAGAAGTGGTTAAAAACGAAATGCTTAAGCTACTAGATTCTGGGGTAATCTATCCTATTTTTGATAGTGAATGGGTTAGCCCGGTTCATGTGGTTCCTAAAAAGGGAGGTGTGACCATAGTTAAGAATGCAAATGACGAACTTATCCCTACTAGGACGGTTACGGGTTGGAGGATGTGTACTGATTATAGGAAATTGAACAAGGCAACCCGAAAAGATCATTTTCCACTTCCCTTTATAGACCAGATGTTGTAAAGGTTGGCTAGGCATTCATATTTTTGTTATTTAGATGGCTATTCGGGATTTTTCCAAATTCCTATCCATCCTAGTGACCAGGAAAAGACCACTTTTACCTGTCCCTATGGGACCTTTGCTTATAGGCGCATGCCTTTTGGTCTTTGCAATGCCCCCGCCACTTTTTAACGATGTATGATGGCCATTTTCTCTGATTTTATAGAGGATATTATGGACGTGTTTATGGATGACTTCTCCGTGTATGGAACTACTTTTGATGGTTGTTTATCTAACTTGTCTCGAGTTTTGCAGCGTTGCGAAGAAGTTAATTTAGTCCTAAACTGGGAGAAATGCCACTTTATGGTAAGGGATGGAATAGTTTTAGGGCACAAGGTGTCTGAGCGTTGAATTGAGGTTGATCGATCAAAAGTGGAAGTCATTGAAAAATTGCCTCCACCAACGTCGGTTAGGGGAGTAAGAAGTTTCTTGGGACATGCCGGTTTCTATCGGCGTTTCATCAAAGATTTCTCAAAAAATTTCAAAACCCTTAACCTTCTTCTTAAAGATACCACCTTTGATTTCACTGACGAATGCCATGATGCTTTTTGTAGGTTGAAAGAAGCATTGATAATAGCTCCTATTATGCAACCGCCGGACTAGAATCTCCCATTTGAAGTCATGACTGATGCAAGTGATTATGCGGTTGGTGCTGTGTTGGGCCAAAGGAAGAACAAGATAGTTCATGCAATTTATTATGCTAGTCGCACTATTGATGAAGCCCAAGTTAACTACGCTACCAATGAAATGGAGGTATTAGCAGTTGTATTCGCCTTTGACAAGTTCAGGTCTTACTTAGTGGGGTCCAAAGTCATCGTTTATACCGACCACTCCGCCATCAAATATCTTTTGAGCAAGCAAGATGCTAAGCCTAGGTTGATCTGATGGATACTACTTTTGCAAGAATTTGACCTAGAGATAAAGGACAAGAAAGGGACGAAAAATTTGGTGTCGGACCATTTGTCGAGGATGAAACAAGAATCACATGATAAGGAGGAGGATGAACTTCCGATCGACTCTTTCCAAGATGATCAGTAGCCATAGAAAGATTGGATGCACCATGGTATGCGGACTTCGTCAACTACCTAGTGTGTGGAGTCTTGCCTCCAGATCTGAGCTATCAACAGAAAAAGAAGTTCTTTGCTGACTTGAAGTATTATTTTTCGGATGAACCGTTTTTGTACAAACGGTGTGTTGATGGGATGTTTAGAAGGTGCGTTCCTGAAGATGAGGTTACAAGTATTCTCCATCATTGCCATTCATCTTCCTAGGGGGGACATGCAAGCACTTCAAAGACACCTGCAAAAGTTCTACAATCAGGTTTCTATTGGCCGAGTCTTTTCCGAGATACAAATCAGTTTGTTAAATCTTGTGATAATTGTCAGAGGACCGGGAACATTTCGAAGCGACATGAGATGCCTTTACACTCAATCTTGGAAATTGAGGTCTTTGATGTGTGGAGCATAGATTTCATGGGACCGTTTTCGTCATCGTGTAACAACAAATTCATCTTAGTGGCGGTGGACTACGTCTCCAAATGGGTAGAAGCGATAGCATCCCCCACTAACGATGCTAAAGTTATTGTGAAACTATTCAAGAACATTATTTTTCCAAGATTTGGGGTGCCACGGACGGTAATCAGTGATGGAGGTTCACACTTCATTGAAAGAAAATTCGAAGCTCTCTTAAGTCAATATGGGGTCACTCATAAGGTCGCCACGCTATACCATCCTCAAACTAGCGGTCAAGTGGAGGTTTTGAATCGAGAAATCAAGAGTATCTTGGAGAAAATAGTTAATCGTTCGAGAAAGGACTGGTCTATGAAACTCACGGATGCCTTATGGGCCTATCGAACTGCCTACAAAACGCCCATAGGTATGGCACCATTCAAATTGGTATATGGAAAATCATGTCATCTCCCAGTTGAGTTAGAGCACAAGGCGTATTGGGTTATCAAACTCCTCAATTTTGATATGAAGACCGCAGGTGAGAAAAGAAAGCTTCAACTTCATGAGCTAGATGAGCTGCGTTTAGATTCATATGAGAATGCTCGTATTTATAAAGAAAGGACTAAACGATGGCATGACAAGAATATTCTTCGAAGAGAATTTAATCAAGGAGATATGGTGCTACTTTTCAACTCTCGTTTGAAGCTTTTTCCGGGCAAGCTTAAATCTCGTTGGTCCGGACCTTTTCAAATCCGTGAGGTTTTTCCTAGTGGAGTTGTTGAAGTTTGGAGTGAAACAACGGGGTCTTTCAAGGTGAATGGGCAACGATTGAAGCACTACATTGTAGGGGAACAACACGAGAAAGGGGTCACGTATACCCTTTCAGATCCCCCTCCGTCGGAGAATTAAAAGAAAAATGGGTCGAGCTCATGACCATAAACGAGCGCTTCTTGGGAGGCAACCCAAGTTTTGATCCATTTTATTTATCTTATTTTATTTTATTTTATTTTATTTTTATTTTTTTAGGCAATTGGATCGGCACAAATTTAACTTATAATATTTTTGATCATGGAGTTGTGAAGAAATGAAGACATTTAGAAAAAAACTGTAGAAAAAGGAGTTAAAGATGGAGTGGCAGAGCCTACCACACCCGGGGGTTGTGTAGACCACACCCACGGTGCACAGTAAAAAAAAATTCAGAGCCTACCACACCCAAGGGTGGTGTAGACCACACCCACGGTCCATAGGAAAACAAATTCCATACTCTCCCACACCCATCTCCCACACCCGTGGGTCGCTGGTTAAAAAAAAGAAATAAAACCGAAAATAAAACCCCTCTTCAACCCAGCAACCACACCCCTGTTTCCTCTTCTTTGCCCTAACCCAAATCAACGCCCCTCCTCCCTCACAACCAGCGAAGAGCCGCCCCTCCTCCCCTCTTCAACCGACCAAGCCATCCGACCGTCGCCTTCCTTTAACCTCAGACCCAGATCTGAAACCGCCGCTCGCCCTCTCCCTCCATCGCCAGTCATCCTCTCCGATCAACCACCGAACCGCCGCCCTGCCTCCCTCTCCGACTGAATCACCGATCGCCGGCCACATCCAAACTCCCCCTCAACTCCGATCCAGTAAGCAAACTGCACCACCCCCCATCCTTCGTTCTCAAACTGCAGCGACCATAGCCGCTCGTCCTCTCCCTCCATCGTCGGCCAACACCCTCCGCTTCCTCAGATCAACGCCAAGTGGCAGCTCAAGTCACCCAACCCCAGTTTCGATTTTGGTGATCAACACCACCACCATCTCTTACTGTACAACAGCAAGCCTTCTACTGTCGTTCAACCTGCTGTCAATTCCCGTTCGGAAGGCTA